AGTGATCTTGTAGGATCTTATAACATCCTACAAGAACTCGTGGATACAAGATATCATAAGATTGTAAAATGAATCTTACAGCTATATTTCCTGAGATTGCTGGAAGATTTCAACAGAACTTCTGTGGATTGCTAGACTAGTTAGCTCGCCCTGCCTCATCCTTCTCTCCTTGTTTGACTGCCGACATGTATGTGTTCTTCCTTCTCATTGATATGGTCCATTATGTCCGGCGAATCCATCATATCCTCACTCTTAATCATACCAAGATTCTCAATCTCTTGAAAATAGTACATGCCTGAGAGCCGCCCCACTAAAGTTGGTCGTTGCCATGGTCAATTTATCGAGAATGTTGGGTGCTGCATGCCACGGTTTGATGGCCGACAACATCTTTTTGCGTGCATGTGAGGATGGTCGTCCGACGAAGAATTTGCCTGACATGCGCCGCAAAAACGCTTCATCCATCATGTGCAGTCGATTGGTGGCACAGAAAATCATAAGATTGGGAACATCTTTGATGCCGTCGATGACTGATAGAAGCACACTCAACTTAGCCACACTGATATCTCTCGCTTCATCAGTACGTTTAGGTGCCAATGAATCAATTTCATCGATTGACACACAACACATGAGATGCGGTGTTTGATGACAACGCATGCAAATATCATTAATGATTCGTTCGGATTCACCGACGAGAGATCGATTGAGTTCACCAGCGGCAAGTGGCGGTGCGACTATATTTACTCCGATCCGAACCGACAATTTGCTCATAATATCTGATTTGCCAGTACCTAAACAACATATCTTTTTGTTAGATATCGTCAAACAAAGTCTACTTTCAATTCATCTCACCTGGTGGTCCGTACATAATGAATCCACGATTTGGTTTGATGAGATTTCGATCAAGATTTGTTATTCGATCACACAATCCTTGGTCTATACTTGCAACCATACCTTCAATAGTACTGATCTCGGCTCGCAATTCGCTTCTTATCGGTTCCAGTTTTTCCATTTCTTGATGATGATCTTCAATCAGTTGTGGAACGGAAAAATTTTCTTCTCCATCTGGTGTCTTTCGAGCACGTCGAGCTGTTTCCATTTCTAGCTCTCGCCTTAATTTAGTGATCGAATCATCATGTCGATAGTATTCATCTTCGATTTCGATAAGTTTTTCTAAAAGCTGTTCACAACGCTGTTGAAGGGCCACTTGTTCTTCAAGTCGTCTGCTTGCAAATTGACTCCATCGATCATCGTCAATTGTAAGATCTTGCTCAACCATTGTCAACGGAAGAAAGAACATTTTCATTTGATCGAAGAGTCCATCATCAGCGAAGCCTTCTTCACGCATTTCTTTGAACGAGAGTTCGACACAGCGCACATCGAGTTTAGCCGGTTGAGGTATCTGAGCGCGAGAGAATTGATCACTAAGAACGTGATGAAAGTAGAGCTTGATTTGGTGTAGACGAGCAAGCAACTCTGATTTGGAGGCGTTGGTACGTTCTAAAATACATTCAAATCGATCATATCTTCTATGGAGAAGCAGAAAAACAAACCCAAAAGAAAATATTCGGTCATACACATGGACAAACTAATTATGGAATATTTTCACAAGAAAATTATGATTCATTTCATCAATAGATCTATTGTTTTCTCAAGAAGAATATCTCTATCTCGTGGATAACTAAGAAGTTGATACTGAACTACGTATAAGTGATGTGTTCAAAATTACCGAAAACTCCTGATAAGTAATGTTTTCACATTTTAACGTTTAATGAACAATACTCATTCTTGAAATCAACTCACCAGTTTCGTCGTTCTTCTTCTTTGTCGTTTTTATTTCAGCAGCCATCTGTTTTTCTCGATTGACGTAAGATTTGAGTATTTTACGCCCATTCATGGGCAATACCTTTAGGTCTGACCATTCACTGTACTTCAAACTAGCCAAATGTGCGTAGGTGGTGACATCATCTTCACGCAACGCCGAAATCCACTTGTCATACTTACCATTATTCTCCTTTTCACATACGTCGTGAACGAAGTGTTCCAATGATATTGTCCTCGGTCGATCGACGTTACGCATATTTCTTGATGACTCATCATCATCGTCGTCGTTCTTACTGATGTCTTCCGTTTCTATTATGTACGAGATATTGGCATTGGCCTCAAGTTTCCATCGATTAGGAAACGATGGACCGATGTTGTTTACCAGCCAGAGTTGAAGCACGCCACGCATGTGATCAAAATACCAAATATCGAACTCATCATCGACTGTAATCGGTTCAGCCAACTGTATTTTGCGAAGAGGACGACCGACATCAATAGTACCTCGCATCAGTAGTTGCTCACGAATGAATACATCAAGAACACAACCTGGCATCGGTGGTAACCGATTGGAAGTCGTTGTTGTTGTTGAGTCTCTGTTCAAGCGAAACGAAAACATGAAAATCGTAATTATAGATGCACAATTATAAAACAATGTTTTCATGTTTTATACTGTGAGGATTCTGAATATTAATGAACTTTAATTAGTAGCTCTAAAAGACAATTAACGATGGACAATATTATGAGATGAGCAATGAATAACAAACGAATGTATTACTTAAATAGAACTACACTTTTTCCTTGAAAAGAAGGTTCCTGTCGCATTTTATACAAAAAAACTCGTCAAGTCGGGCAGTACTATAATGGAGAGTCTTTCTAAGATACTCACAACTTTTAAACATAGTCTCTTTGAACTGAAAACATACTTCATATTTTACTGAAATAAATCATACCGAAATGCAACTGGTATGGTGAGGGATTGAAACAAAAATTGATGTATAAACTCGTGTACGGCTGGCTGATCTTGCTTGACGTGAATATGGCAGGTGACTTCTTTCACGGATTCGAGAGCAGTCGATTTTGTTGATGGTGACTTTTGTTCTTGAGTTGAGTGCGATGTCGGTGCTTGCCGTCTTTGATCAGAACTTCGAGTGAACCGCATCCGATTAAATGCCGAGACGAGTTCGTGACAGGCAAGATCTATGTTAGTTGGATTCTGGATGCACAACTTTAAATGATCGAGATTATCCGCATCATCGAGAAGATTGAATTGTGTAACCAAGTTTTTGAGCGTTTGTTCGCTGGTGATGGCTGTGGTAGTGGTTGTCTGCGGTCTTAAAAGATCATGAGAAGCACGAATTTGTCCGAGACGAATTTTGTTGATTGATGTCAACGAATCAGATACAGAGAGAAATTCGAACACTGATTGTCGTGTAGACATTATCTAGAATACAAAAAATTCAGCATCATTTTATGAAAAGATCTACCATTCTTGATATATCTACTCAACAACTCTCTCCGACTGAGCAAACAGTTTTGTTCTCGCTTCAAGGTTTCCACAGTCTCTAACAAAGTGCCTGCTCTATTAGATTATCTAATAAAGTCTAAATACACATTTCTTTATTCATATGCGTTAGTTACTA